ATTTCTCATTTTATTGTGTATCCAAGAAAATGTACTAAACGTTCTCTCTGTAGCAGCTGACGTACAAGGAGCAGACAAAATTCTAACAGCAACTTTAGATAGTGGTGATATATGATTAAGAAACTGTCACCATTTTAAGGGTTCAGATAAAAGTGAATTTTCCTAAATAAATCTTTTTGCAAATTTCTCATTTGTTGATTGATAATTTGACAGGTCTTCCATAATATTTACTCCCATTGAAATTCCTAATTCATAAATGAATTCTAAAGCATCAATTCTTTCATCACTATTTAGTTTACAGCCTTGAGTTTTCGGATCTAGTAATTCAGCAGCTTTTCTTTTTTTAATATCAGCTACAATTTTAATTTCTTCAGCTATAGAAAATAAATGATTTCGCATTGATTTTGAAAAAAATAAATCTATTTGATTCGATGGATATGATTGCGTTCACTATTGGAGTTAGCACAGAGATCATTTTTGAAAAATACTTATCATCATCGAGTAATGCCAATTTAATAGCTTTTATTAATGAAGTTTGTAAATTTTCATCTACTGCCATAGCTTGTAAAACACTTTTATTTTGAAACAAACTTTCTAAGTAAAATAAAAAACTGCCCCACCGTGTTTTCACAGGTAATTTTAGTTGAATTTTAATACCTTTTGAAATTTGATATTTTTTTGAAAACTGATGACAGCAGTTGAGATATTTTAATGACCTGTACAATATTTGAATTTTGTTTCATAAACTCATGAACTGAACTTATTTTCAAAATATCTGAACACAAAAGATGTAGCCCGTGAGCAGCACACCCAAGTGGTTGAATACTCTTATAGATTTTACTAATTCAAAAGATTTTTTCATATTTGCAGCATTGTCTCCAATGATTACAAAAAATTTTTCTTTTCCATAAAATTCAATTATTTCACAAATTTTATCTTTCAAATATTCGGTAGTGTGACGATTATCTTTAGTATCTAAAAATTTAACGAACAAAGGTTCAGGTTTGGAAATCACAAAGTTAATTATACCATCGTTATTAATGTTTGTCCACCCATCCAATTGGAGATGAAAATCATTGACTTGAAAAAGATCACTTGTAATACTGCTTTGCATTTCTTCATAAAGTTTATCCACATGCTCTACAGATATAGCTTTTCTACTAGGTAGCTTAAAAGATGGTCTAATGTGTTTAAAAAAATCAATCCACAGGGGATGTTCAACCATAGACAAAGGAGATCCACTTACATTAATAGCTAAAGCCAGCTTTTTACTTAATCGTGCCTGTAAAATTTGTATACAGATGTAATAAAATTACTTAAACAAAAAAAATATCTTATTATAATAGCTACATAATACATATACTTTTTTATACAAAAAAATCCAAAATGGATCAAAATAGGCAAATACACCTAGGGTATTGTACCAATTCAACATAAAATTATCCTTTTATATTCCAAAGGTTAAAAGGTACCAAACAAAATAAATTTCTATCATACCCAGAAACTATAATTATTAAGGGAAAATATACAAATGTATAGACATTAGTAGTTTAATTATAACATTACCCAATTTGACATTCAATAAAATTGTCAGTAAATATTAATACTAGATAGGTAATAGGTAAGATTGTACGAATTTAATATAAAGATAAATTAGTTAATTAATTTACATTTTCCCCTGCATCTATTTTGTCAAAAAACCTGCTGAAGTTTTCGGAGTGCTGTTGGATTTGTAATTGGGGAACTTTTTTTGATGTTGATTGAACTGTGCTCTGCTTGAATTTCTTTTTAGTTTCTTTTGGACATTGTAGACATTTAAGTAAATGGGATTTCATTTTGTTCACGTTTAAATTATATTTTTTTGAACAAAACTTACACGATTGACGCTTTTCATCAATACCGATTTTTTTTAAATATTTACGGATCGGATCTTGTTTTCTTCCCGTAATAAATATATTTTAAAATAAAATAAAACTAAAATTATAATAAAATATAGAACGACGTGCGTTATTTCAATACGTGTTTTGGAGAAAAAAACGCTAACAATGAAAACAAAATAACCTTAAAGTGAACGCTATAATTATTATTATCGACGACGACAACTTCATACTAATATTATGTCTTATATTGATATATCGTGAGTAAATGGTGGTGATAAGTACTCGAGTGTGTTGACTGTTAGCTATTGGCGTTTTGCGTAATGCCATAGTCTATATATAGTATGGATTATTATTATTGATAACTAATAAGTAAGATATTTATAGCACACGCTAGTCGCCACATACGCACTCACACACCAACTTCAGCAGTGTGACGGCAGCCAGTGCGATAAAAAAATAAATAAATACCCATTTATCCAGGTATTTACCCTAAATAAATTTCTTACCCGTTGGGTATTTACCCACAGCCCATCACTAGTCAGGGCGTAGAGTAGTGGATATTTATTTTTTACCTTTATCCGAGATATACAAAATGAGCTTTGTGATCATGGACTATTATTTGGATGTTCGTTCAAAGATATGGATATAGTATCTGAAAAAAAATGTGGACTACAAAGTACGTTTTGTTTTAAATGTAGGATGTGTGGACTTAAAAAGCTTATTAAATAAATAATTATGAAAGTTCGGGAGCAATAAATGTCAATGAAGCTACAATTGTGGGTACCTATCAGCCGGAGGAGGGTATAGTCACCTCTCACAAATATTTTCAGCTATGGAAATTCCAGTAATGAATTTTAGTTCTTAAAGAGTTTATGAAAATAAAGTGACAGACAACTTTGAAAAAGTCGCCTCTATAATTATACTAAATGCAGCGATGGAGAAAAAAGCTTTAGCTATACAAAATGGCGACAGTGATAAAGATGGTGTTCATTTATTGACAGTTATATGTGATGGTAGTTGGGGAAAGAGATCTTATAGAACTATGTATAATTCATCTTCTGGAACCGTAAGTAAAATTAAAATAATTAAATAAATATATTATTAATTTAAGACTCAAAATTGAATGCACTTAAACAGTACTAAATAGCATGCATTTATGATATTAAAAAAGTACACATCTGCTTTATAAATATGCACTTATTTTTTTACTTATAATTTCATAAAAACAAATTTTTTATATTTTATATTTTTACTAAGTTGTATTTTGTTTCTAGGCTGCCATAATTGGTCAACGAACCAAGAAAGTACTGTTCATGGGTGTTCGAAACAAATACTGTCTTGTTTGCGCCAGAGCATTAAATTCGAATAAAGAGCCTATGAGCATGTTTGTTTTAAAAACTGGGACGATAGCAAAAGTTCATCAGCTATGGAAGCGTTTATTATTATAGAAGGTTTTAAAACGAACGAAGCTTTGTACGGCGTTCGTTATGCTAAATTTATTGGAGATTGGTACAGTAATGTATATAAAAAAATTTTAGAGCAAAGACCCTATAAAGATCTTACTGTACAAAAGGTGGAATGTAGAAGCCACTTGTACAGAAATTTTTGTAACAAATTAAGGGATATTGCCAAAAACAGAAAAGACAGTGGTGAATTCCGAAATATTTTAAATGGAAATGTATTTCGACTTAGAAATGCTGTCGCTAAGGCCGTAAAATTTAGAAAAATATCTAATGACATCGCTGGTCTAAGACGAGATATCGAGAATGCTTCGTATCATGTTTTTGGGAATCATAATAAATGTAATTCATATTATTGTCAAGGGCCAAAAGACAAATGAGATCAATAAAGTACCGGAAATGAAGAAAAATGATATGTTTGGAGAGATAATAACCACTATGAGAAAATATTTATTAGTACAATCTAAATCTCTCATTCAGGATTTAGACAGTAATATTGTTGAAAGTTATAACGCAATCGTAGCAAAATGTATTTCAGGTAAACTCACGTATTTTTTTATATTAATTAGTTATACAATTTATAATATGTCATTTGCTATAGACTATACGCTTTTATAGTTTTTAAATACTTATAATTTAAACATTTCTAATATTTAACAATTACTTTTTTTATAATTTTATTCATAATATATTATATATTATAATATGTATATGTATATTAAAATTATTAAAATATTAATTTTAAATTTTTCGGGGTTTTTATATTATTTTAGATATTTTATTAATAATATAATTATATTATAATTTAAACATAACTTTTTATAGGTAAAAGAATAAATTACTCTTTAAGGCAATCATACACAGGACGTTGTAATGTTGCTGCGGTGACATATAACACAAAAAAACCAGTTTATACTAACCACAAACTTATCCACAACAAAAGCCCTGAAATTTTCACTAAAAAAAAGAAGAAAAGATAATGTTAGCAGTACGAGCGACTACTTCAAGAAGACGTGGTATAGTACGTAGACAGTTATTTCCAGCAAATAAAACAACTATAGTGCGGTCAGATCCTTCTTACGGAGATAATGCTGAAAAACCCGATATGGCAGATGATTTTGAAGCTGAAAAGGAAAAAATACTTTCTTCCTTAATTTTAAACGAAGAAGAGAGGGCAGCTTTAGAACGCGAAACTGTGGATCAAAGTCTTTCAAACAAATGGATAAAACGAAGAAGGAAAATGCTCACAGCTTCTAATTTTGGAAAAATTATTAAAATGAGACAAACCACTGGCTGTCAGAGTTTTGTTAAAAATCATTTGTTCGGAGAAGTGACTACAACTGCCATGGAGAATGGTAAATCAAATGAAGAAATAGCACTAAGAGCACTAGAAAAAGTTTTAAATATAAATACAGTAGAAACTCGATTAACCATCAATGTCGGGACCGGGACAATGACGGTTAATCGAATAGATGGTTAACAGAAATACAATAATACAAAACAATTTTTCAATAAACATATATATGTATTTTACAACGTAATTTTCAGAAAAAAATAAATATATTAGTTATAAAATAATAATAAGTAATAAATAATAAATACTAATAATGTAAATAATATGTAATATGTAATAACTTAAAGAATACCATTCTAAAAAATATTAAACAAAATAATCCGTCATCTTCTTCTGTTTTTTTGAGGCACGAGCTTTTTGAGCGGCTATGTTTCGTATTTTACGAAGAAGTAACACCTGCGTTGCATTTGCCTCCTCTTGTACCTCAAACCAATCAATGCATTTTAATAACATTGCTTCTACTTCTGCATGGCTAGTTAATGGTTTTAAGTCAAGCACTGAATCTTCGACGTCGTCATCAACTTCTTCGTCAACGGTTATGACATTAAAAATAATTTGATCATCATTTAAAACTTAAAATCTTCCATTCTGTTTATCACTTTCTAACCAATCCAATACTTCTTTAGTTGATAATATTTCACTATTCAGTCCATTACAAAGTTGTACAATTCCTTCTACACTAACAGTATCAAATTCTTCAGATTCGAATGGTGTTATTTCAGGCCAGAGTTTATTCCAGCCATTCATTAGGTTTGGTACAGACAGATCAGCCCATGCATTGGCGACATTGAAAATAGCATCTTTTATGTTGTAATTTTTCCAAAATTCTTTAATGCCTATAGCATCCTCAGATGACAACACACTTTCGATTAAACTTTTTCTGTACCGACGCTTCATATTCTCAATTATAACTTGGTCCATAGGTTGGAGAAGAGGGGTTGTATTTTCTGGGAAAAAGAGGCATGTTATATTGCTATCGTCATTTTTCAGTTCTCCAGAGGGATGTGTTGGCGCATTATCCATAAGCAGCAGCGGTTTCTGTAGCAACTGCTTTTCGGCGAGATGAATTTTTACTTGTGATACTAAAACTTTATGAAACCAATTCGTAAATATTGTTTGATCCATCCAAGCACTTTTTTGTGCATAATAGTTCACAGATAATGAATTTAAATTTAAATTTTTAAATGGACGTGGTTTTTTGGATTTACCTATCACCAGCAAAGATAATCTATGATTGCCGGTTGCATTTGCACAGATTATAGCAGTGATCCGATATTTTTGTACCTTGAAACTTGGAGCTGTTTTTTCCGTAAATGATGCCAGTTTTTTTTGTGGTAAAGCTTTCCAATTGAGCCCAGTTTCATCACAATTATAAACTTGTTCTCTAGCGAGTTTAAATTGAGATTGTATTTTAAATTTGAATTGTTTCTTGAATTTAGCAACAACTGTGCAATTCGTACTAAGTTTCTTTCCACTAATATCTAGTTGTCGAATGCCGTGACAAAATTTAAACTTATCAAGCCATCCTATACTTGCTTTGAAGTTTGTATCGCCATTTAGTTTTTTATTCATTGCAATTGCCTTAGCCATTATAATAGGACCTGAAAATGGAATTCCTTGACTTCGGGCTTGAATAAACTACTGATACATAACGTTATCAAGCTGCTCATATTTTGCGGCTTCATGGTTTTACGACTTTTTACATCTCCATCGTTGCTTTGCATTAACGATACATGCTGCTCAATTTTTTTCAGCATCACGTTTTAAATCATTCACTGTTGTTCCTCCAACACCATAAATCTGAGCAATATTGGTAGCAGTTTCACCTTTCTTCAAACGTTTGATAATTTCGAGTTTTTGATTAAATTCTAATACAACTCGTTGGCGCTTTTCTGGCATATTCAAAACACAACACATAAACTACAAAAACACTAATCCGTACACTCAAGCTACTCGTCCGTCACTGGTTATATTACATTTATAACTATTCAATTAAAATTGCAAATTATCGTATTTATCGCGTTAGGTTATATTGCAATCGCATCGTTAATTTTTTTTTTTGACGGATAATAGAAACTGACGGTAAATCGAGTGACGGATAATCGAGTTTCTACTGTATTATAAAATGTGATATTTTCGTGGACAGTGAAAATCCATACTTGGGAGCTACTCCAGATGGTCTAATTGGGAGTGATGGTATAGTTGAAGTCAAATGTCCTTCATCGGCAGAGCATTTAACGCCAGAAGAAGATATAAAACAAAAAACAATAACATTTTGGACATTAAACAAATCTGGAGAAATTGGTGGTGTGTACGCCATATCGCCCATATCTCTTGGTCACGGTATAATCCTTTTATTGTTATTGTTATTGTTATTGTTATTATTACTTATTATCTTATGTGTACGCCATATCACCCAAATTCTCTTGGTCACGGTATAATCTTTTTATTGTTATTCTTATTATTATTATTATTATTACTTATTATCAGTGCTCGAAGTGGCTCAAGATAAGTGGAGGGATGCCTTACAATTCAGATTTTCTAATATCATCATAATATTCTTCACACCTTGTGTACCTATAATATATTTTTTTTTTATAGTTCACATTTTGTTTATGCATCAAAACACTGCAATATTTTTTTTTATCATAATTAAACTTTAAAATTAAACAAATAAATAACATATTTTAAAATTTAGTAACAAAAAAACTTAAAGTATTTTATTTTTAATATTTTTTATTATTATAAAAGTATTATCTAATATTTAAGTAAAACATTTTTTTGTACTTAATTTAGCAAACACTTTTCCTTAATTAAATACTTTATCTCTTTATATTGAGTATGTAAATTACTTTAATTGCTCCCAAAGACTATTGTATTCCGTGTTATATTTTATTTCTTGCTTTGAAACGCATTGTGTATGGTCAGCACATCTTCTACCTTTAGAAATCCAAGAATCCACATATGTATTTGCATTAAATTCACATAAAGGTGGACCAACACATTTAATCCACAAAAGATCAGATACACGTGAAACTTTTAATGTATTTCGAATATCATTATGAACAATATTCATGGCACTAAAGAGCCTCTCACATTCAGCAGTAGAAACTACTAATGTATTTACAGCTTGAGTTAGAGGTTTAAGGTTGTCTGGAATAATAGATTTATTATCTATATACTCACGAAAACCTCTAACTGACTCTCTTTCATTTATTTTAAATATGTTTGAAAGCTGCTTAATTGCTCTCTCTCCATATAATATATCTACTTCTAACGGCCATCTTTGTGGGTTTAAAACTTCTAGCAGTTGAATAAACTCGGCATACTTATTTGATGTGTCAGATGATGAAGATACATGTGATGATGTAAAGTTTAACATTCTAGATTTTAAATTATCAGCTAAGCTTCGATAGAATTGTTTATAGTTTATTTTATTTTTATTATTTTCATGAAGTTCAATATTTTTAAAGGTCAAACTAAGTTCAGAATTCTCAGCTTCTTTATAAAAACCATCATTACACTTCTCAGACATAGATTCAAAAATCAGAATTTGTCTTCTAATTAAGTTATGAGCATCAGGTAGTTTTGTACACCGTTTTTGAAGTTCTAATGAAAGATCTGATAGTTCAGTTAGAGCATCATATAGAAGACCTAAATTTAAAACAAAATCAATTGATGTTATTTTATGTTTTAAACCTTTAAAGGTTGCTTTTTCTTTAGATGTTCTCGAGCTATCCAAACTACATTTGTCAAAATGTAAATAAAGTGCTTCATAGTCTCTCCAGACTGCTTTAACTGACCTCAAACTTGAAGCTACCCATCTTGTATTTAAAATGCGACCAATTGAAAGAAATTGCAAATCTAATTCTTTGGCACAACTTTTTAAACCATACTGGTTTTTTGGTGATGAACTATATAATGTATAGAGAGTATCAAAAAATATTTTGAAATGATTTATGCCAGCTACCTCGTTAACTACATCATCAACAGCAAGTTCAAGTCTATGATTAGAGCAATGCCAGACCAATAAATCTGGATATTTGTCAGTTAAAAGTTTTCCCACACCAGCTTTTCGACCAATCATATTAGAAGCTCCATCACAAGCAAAGCAAATAAAATTTTGTATTAAATATTCATGAGAAAATTTGTGTTTGTTTAGACATGTTAAAAGTTGCAAAACTATGGTCTCAGATTTTGTATTTTCTAATTCTAGTAAATCTAAAAAAAATGTTATTGGGTCTGTTTCATTTTTAACATCTGTGGAAGCTCTAATACAAACAACCAAACAAGTATTTTTCGACACTGAGGTAGCTTCATCAATTAATACCGAAATTTTAAAATTATTTTTGACAATAAAGTTTGTAACTTTTGCTTTCATTTCTATTGCTATATGGCTAGCAATATCAGCACAAGCATGATCGCTGTGTAAAATGTGACCCATATCCAATCCATTTAACTTTTGAAGTTGAATATCAAATGGTAAATCAGTAAATGGTCTTGTTTTTTTAACAATACTATATACAGTATTAAATACTCTTATCGTACTCTCAAATTTACCAGAAATCCCCTTTGACACAGCTTTTGGCAAAACATTTTCTTCTTGTGCTTTTAAAATTTGTTCACATCTTTTATGACATTCACTAATTTTATGCTTATGTATTTTTTTTCTCAAGGATTGTCTTTTATCTTTATCACTAGCTCCATAAGTATGTACACTACACTCTGTCCATTCAATAGCAAATCTAATACCTTGTGTTTTATATGTGGCAAGGTTTTGAACCTGCACGCATATTTTACAACCCAATTTTTGGTCTTTTACCATTATCCATGGATATTTATTAAGAAATGATACAAACATTTCTTTTGTCCAAATACTTGGATAATCGTTACCATTGTTATCACCACTTTCATTAGAATTGTTTGAACTATTATTAGTATTACAATTTAATTCTGTACTCACTGTCTCAGCTTCATTAGATGATGCTTTTAGTATTGCTTGAGTATAAATCAATGAATCTTCGATTTGGTTTACGTTTGTTTTGGTTAACCAATTTAATAAAGACATGCTTAAAATATAACTATTTATTCACAGTCTACACGTAGAGAATAATATAATATACTGTCGTCAAACGGTCGAAAAATAATGTGCTAATACTAATACTGTTGTACTATGTTTAATATAATATTAATTACTACCAACACTACTACCATAACCATTATCAAAAGTATACACGGTTCATTGTGGTCATAATACTCATAATCAGTTGTATTCTATCCATGGGCTAAATTTAGAAATTGATCGACTCACACATACATACATATTTACTTATTAGTTATCAACAAAATATTGTCAGAAATGACATTATTAATGTTCCGTGATAATAATATTATATTATTAGCTCTAAACATGCTCCGTGGCTCTAAATAGTAAATACGGGTATAATACGGATTGCGATTGCGAAACGGCTTATACTAAATATAGAAGATTGTCAATAAGACCATATCGTTACGTATCGGTTTTTCGTAGTGATACGTAAACAACACGATAAGCCGGGCGCCCGGGCCTGAATGTTATAAACAAATATTTTCACCGAAAAAATTTTTTTTTATATATAAATAATATATATAAAAATTATAATAACTATATCATTTTAAAATACAATTCTTGGGAGAAATGCGTTATTCTAGACAAAACAAGTAGAGGGATGAAAACTGTAAATACAAAAAAGTAGAGGGATGCCATCCCTCCGTATCCCCCCCACTTCGAGCACTGCTTATTATCTTATAACTTATATTCTGATATCGAT